TAACTTCAAAATCGACCAATTCCCCACGCAGTGTCGGAATATATATTTCGTTTTCTTCACTGAGCTCGCATTATGAACATCCACACACCAGCTAACAATATATGATTTAAAGTTTTTATATTCTTACCAACAAATGCATATATTCCCTCACTGCTTCCGCGTCTCACCTCAGCAGTGCGGGAATATATGCACATAGTCAACTACATGTGTTGCTAGCAAAATGCGAATTTTGAGAAAATTTTGCGAAATTATCGTTGATTTCTGTATACTTATACCCAAAATCGTGTGATTTTTCATAAAATAGTGAGGAAACCTACGAGCTCAGTTGAGGAAACCAAACATATATTCCTGTACTGCACCTCATAGTCATCGTCCTCGAATGAGCCCAACGTGGTGGTGTTGTTGTGTTTGGAAATTGTCTGGACGCTCCGGAGTGCGAGTGGTCGCAAATGTCCCCGACATGGAATGCGATAGAGTAGCATAACTACAGCAGCAACAGCAACACTAAAGTGATCGAAGCCCTAAACGACTAAACTCCGTTCATGCGTATGTGAGGACTTGTGTCGCTGTCCCGTTTGTGGTACAGCTGTCCCCAAGCTCGATATTAATATATTCCGTAATGCTATAAGTAACGTAAACGAGTTATTCATCCATCGACTCGAGTGAACTGTGTTAACGGCGAACCCTTATCGGTTGTAGAGTACTGCGATAGGTGTGACTATCATTACGAATAGTGATGGTAAACATATGAAAACGAATTGAACGTGTTTCATCGTTCTTTATGAAATGGAATAATAATCATGAGTATCATAATCAGTCTCGTCACCTCTCGAGACTAGTCGGCCTAAGAAAAGCCGCATACTCTCCAAAGACTATACCTCAAGCCTAGCTCATATGAAGACGTGTAGTAACAGATGTTCGATCATACTCTCCATACATCCATTGTCATGAATCGTGAGGGCAAGCATGAACCCCCCTAGTGAAGACGATGCTGCGGAAAAAGGCGTGTTCCTCTGCCCAGACTTGATACAATACGCGCGAACTGGGCGGGGCACTTTTTCCTTTCGTTTTACCGAATTTTAACCTAATTCTCCCACCGTTAAACTCTTCATGTCGTTAAAACTCGACAAAAAATACTCATCTAATTTTCACCTCCCTAACCTAGCGCGTCCCTAGCGTGCTGATGGACTAACCACTCCAGGCAAGTGTGGGAATATATGCACATGGTCAACTACATCTTCAATGTGAGGTTCCTGAGTTTGTCATGTTTTCTGTCGTAACAGCCGTTTACGTGCTCCGTAATTTACGTTACAGGTTTCCCTCCGTAAGTTTTGCCATAAATTTGCCCATCTATACACATGGTCAACTACATGTGTTGCTAGGAATATGGAAATTTTGAGAAATTTTGAGAAATTTTGAGAAATTTTTGTATACTCATACCCAAAATCGTGTTATTTTTCATAGTATACTGAGGAAACCTACGAGCTCAGTTGGGGGAAACCAAACATATATTCCCATACTGCTCCAGGCTGTCTCGATTCTGACTGGGAACTCAAAAGTCGACGATATAGAAATGATATAACTACGATTTATTACACTGTGAAAACACTGTGGTCATGACAGACATACAGCCATGCATGCGATATGCCAATACTAATGCAGTAAAAACAACCTTACTAGGATTCGAACCAGGGACCTATCGGCGAAGGCTCGCTCTACTCGCCTCAAACGCGCTATCCTCATCTTCATCCGAGGACGCCGTTCGACTCGCCTTCTTGTTCGGCGACTAAGAGCAACCGTTGAAGAGCAACTCTCACAATACAAACACCTTCTTCGGGTACGCCTCCATCGCCATTTCAAGATCAGCTTCCGTACGATGGGACTGCGACACCGATTTGCATCGTGAATCTACACACCTGCTTACCATCTCTCGCGCAAGAATCAACCTACCCTTTCCTCCAACATGACCAACGCTCACTGGTGAGACATCGCCGAGCTTGTGCATTGTGGCAGAGTCTCGCCGCGTTCGACGTAGAGTTTCCTCCACCTCCAGCATTCTCAGTCGATACCGTTCCTTCTCCAACTCGGCGTTCTGAGTAGCATCCAACCAGCCCGGCAAAACTTGCTTAAAAAATCCACCTCGAGTAAAGAGGTATACATCCTTGCATTTTCGCTCTCTTGTTCGCACCGCTCCTTCGTGAAATCAAGTTCAGATTTCAACTTAGCCGTTTCTGCCCGTAACTCGGACACCTCAGAGGAGTGCTGCTGTGCCTGTGAGCCCGACACAGGTCCGCCTCGTTCAACCAACCCCTCCTCAACTGCCGAGTCCAGCTGCTCCACCAGCCACGAGTCAGCTTCCGACGACACAGTCTTTTGCGGAAGGACACCGTCGATGGAATCCTGTAGATCACTCATCAACTTCGATGATCGATGGGACTCCTCCTAGAATGAAACTTTGCATTCATACCACTCCTTCCGCAACTCATGTTCAAAACTATCACTACCCGCCGTGGACTCCAACACTATTACTCTTGAAAATTAATAAAAATAATAATAATACTATAAAAAACTCTACAACTCCCTACTCTACTAATAATAAATTCATTAAAATCAATAAAGTCTCACCCGTTTCACACCGCGAGTCGATATTCGCGGTGCTATGCAGTAGTCGTAAAATATAGCGTTTTTCATATCACTAGGGTGGTGAAACTCCAATATACACTAATTCACCCAATAAAAATATGCATTTCCATCGTCACTGTCCTCTCACCGCATGCTGGCCTCGCATACGATCTCGCTCTTGCTTCAACTGCGCGATTTCCTTCCTGAGGCACCTCTGGTCAACTTCATGCATCGCATTCTGAATTCAAAGTCATCTTGCAATCTTGCATTTCCTCAACGCCTTTTCACACCAGATTCTCAATTTCCCGAAGTAACTGTCCTTCCCTATCTGGCGATACGTAGTTGCGGAACTTGTCCTTCATCTCCTCTCTCGTCTTGAAAGCCGCAGCATACCGCTCCTGCTCCAATTCATGTTCCTGACAAATCTTGAAATCTTGCTCAATCTTGCATTTCCTCAAATCTCTTCACCTTCCGTAAAGCAGTGTAAGCCTTCTCTAACTTCGTGAAAGTAATACACTGAAAAATATCAACGGCCTCTCGGCATTTCCCAGTTTCCTGGACCTACTCTAGAGCACGATACGAGCTGGACTTGGCGTTGTTGAACCTTGCGAGCCTCCCCCTGCCATTTCCGAACCTCTACTTTGAACATGTCTACCACTCGTTGTGTCGCAATGTGCTGAAGACAGACAGCAGAATACCAGATTCTCTAATAGACGTAGAAATATCGAATTCCCTAGCGACCGCAGTACTCCATTTTTAGTATAGAAATTCAGCAAGGTTGGAAGCGTTTACTCCCATAAGTGCAATCGCCAAGCAACGAAGGATGTCGAGAGTTCGTCGAGTTATGGTACTAAACTGCGTTTTTATAGGATATCCATTGCGCACCTCCTCCGTTTTCTCTGCCAGTTTCTCGCCAAGTTCTTTCACTTGCTTCTCAAGCTCGGCGATCTGGGAACTAATTTCGTGGCGAGTGACGGAGCAATGTCGGGCACCTCGTTCTGCATGGCCATTATAACGCTTATATGCTCTTTCGTGGATTTCTCCATCGACGCTTGGATGTCTCTGTTGGCACTCCCTAATGCCTTCATCTTCCTATCTGCTGTCTTCAACTAACAAAGCGCTAACGTAATATCTACGGCACTTTGAGCGAGTTATGGTATGGAACACCACTAAGGTGTGGTATCACCCACCTGATTCGACAGATCCTTCCGAGATGCCTGCAGCTGATCCCTTTCCGACTCCAACTGTCTGATCTTGAGTTCCAATGACTGCAGCAATCACTCTGCTTTTCCTCAAGACTCTCCTTCCCTACTGATTTCGCACGCTGAAGATCTCTCAATTTCGTATTCTTCGCCTGCAACTCCGACAGCTGCGTTTCACTTCTACTCTGCAACTCCTCGATAACTGCAGAACTGACAAGAGGGTGCCATCAAAGAGTTTCCTCCGACCGGTCCAACCCCACTGTGCAAGGTCATCCCTGGTAGATCCGTCCACTTGCATCTCAGCATGAACGGCCAACTTCTGCTCAGTTTGAACACTACAAGTGGCAGACACACCTGCTGACAAAAAACACATCTTCCCTTCGCGTCTCTCTAGGACTTGATCTGTATAATGTGAAAATTATGAGAATTTTCCTAGGGGATTCTTATTGGTTTCTGTACACTTCTATTCGGATTCATAACTCGTCGGAAACTCTCGAGATCAACTGAGGAAAGCGAATAGATATACCCACTGTGTCTACCAGTAGGAGTCTGCGTCCCCATTGCTCGTCTAGAGACAACTTCAAGGAGAGTCTGCACAGCCATCGATACAGTGTTAAAAGTGGCCGTCTGAACGCCACTATCCACACCTGACCGAAGCCTCGCTGTTATTATTTCCAAGCACGACGGAGATATACCCGAGGCGCATTTCCTCAGATACTTCGCTCGAATGCGTCGCTTTTCCTGTCGGAAGGCCTCCTCCACCACAGAGGTAAGATCGTGGTAGAACTAATGATGAGCAAAATCAGAACTGAACAGTAGTAGGATGACGAGGTTGTACAGTCCCCCATAATTTTCACTATAGCAGAGCTAAATTTGCTAATATATCGCCCTGCAAACGTAAGGAGCTTCCCTACGGTGAAGTCTATGTAGTGCACTATATAGAGAACTCAGATGATATGCAGAAGTGATGTGTTACCCACCTTTTCCCGTCCCCTTTGGTGGTGCCATTCCTCATCCTCACTGGTCACACTAGATGTCCTTTCGATGTCCGCAGATTGCGGATCGCTTGACCCTGAGTTCAAGAGATAAAGGAGATCATTGCGCTACTCTTGATAACACTACCATTCTTCCCAGCTACGCCGTAGCCGCTACTATGCTGTAATTCATCGTTCTAAAAACGACCCCCCTGGGAATCGAACCCGGGACCTCCCCGACAAGCTCACCATCACAGGTGGATACATACGCATACTATGCTGCTGGTGCCACCACATAGGGCCGTAGTTTTGCAGCATTGGAGTAGCCGCCGTCGGATAGAAGCCACTATTCACACTGAACCACTTGCATGACTTGAACACTCTTGCATTTTCCTCACGTTCCAGCATGGACCCCAGGAGGAGGTGGTGGCAGCACCAGAGGGTGGTGCATGGGAGGCACGAACATCGCGGGAGGAAATCGTGGGGGAGGGAGCATCCCAGGTGGCGTGTGGTAAGTAGCCACCGGTGTGCCTAACGGTGACCATCTCAAACAAGGTTTGGTAACAATGGGGAAAATATTGCTAGTATCATGACATCTACTAGCTATGTGGGAAATTCAAAATGACCCCCCTCGGGAATATTAGAGGTTCCTGGATGCTTCCCTGATATCAAGGGTGCACAGAAGGACGTCCATGGGCAGTGCGAGAAGATATGCACATGGTCAACTACATGTGTCGGTGACAATATGAAAATTTTGGGAAATTTTCTGCGCATTTCTACCCGGGTTCGCATATACCGAACCTCATATGAACATATATTCCTCCAACACTGCACGAGGAGTATGCCCGTAGTCAGGATCAGGTTAAAGAGATAGTCCTTTTGTAGTTTCATCCTAGACATCTATTCGCGTGAATGACCAGTAAAGCGACAGAGAAATCCTCATAAGAGAGGCCACAAGCCATCAGGAATGGCATCGTATAAAGCGTCTCTCCCCACGTGTAAGCAAGCCTATAATGACTATCTTATAGGTGGCTATGCATGTTTAGCACCACACGTTGAGTTGTGAGCGCTACAGTGCTACGGTGGTGGTACGAAATAAGCAAGCCCTACCATTTTCGGTGTTCGGGAAGGCTTCCTCCTCTTCCTCCTCGTCGGCGTCGAGACCTTCCATCTGTCCATCACTTCTATAACCCATCCACTGCTGCTGCTGCTGTTGCGGATGTCCAGTCTGCTGAAGGTAGATATCTAAAATCTTCGCTGTGCGCATGCCCTACCTCCGTATCGAACTGGGGTGCTTGAGCAGCAAGATCACCTGAATGATCCCAGGTTGAAAGCAGCAGAGGAGCAGAGCTCACCTGTGTAGTATTCGCCTTGGTGTTGCCAGCTTTGATCGATTCCAAACGAAGGCTCCTCTTCCCCTGGTGATGCGCACGTAGACGGAACGTGTGGAGGTATAGAGTGCAATCGCCGAGCATCTTCTGGGGCCTGCCTTAGAGAGGTGCTGTTGGAGATCGTTGGAGGGAGCATCGAATTTAGTGACGCGTCTGGAAACCAAAACCATGGTGAGAGTCAGGGCGCAGCACACCTCATCACCAGCATCATCGACCGTCCGTGCATGAGGCGAGTAATCGTAATGTACACCGTCCTTCGTAGCGTCGTGGGTAACCGCATGGCCTGTCATAGGAAAGGATGCCGGTTCTATTCCTTGGAGATCGTTTTGTTGCGACCAGTGATGTGAGGAACTGTGCCCCCGGTCATTGGTCATAGGAAGGAGTATATGCTGCAGTAGGACCCATCGTAGCAAGCACAACCACCACTCGAGATGAACTCATTTCCACGTCTGCTCTTGAGCTTAATCGTGTGAAACAGCTCGTAGGAAGCTGTTGCACTAATAAAAACTAGTAAAACTATGCACATGTTCAACTGCATATGTCGGTGACAATATAGAAATTTTTATGATGGATTTACCAACACGGTAGACAAGGAGTCAGGAAAGAACGAACTAACAAGTGCTAGACTCATCCCCCCGACAATAAGAACGACTTCCACTTGTACATGCGTGCAAAGTTATGGAGCCGCGCGTGTTGTTGATAAGTATTCATAGTTGACTTTATATCTTCCTCTCTTGCTCTTCTCGGTATAGTCTATAGCTGACACCATAACAGACTTTATGGCTGTACAACAGTTATTTGAGCTGTATATACTCTATCGTCAACAGCAGCTCATCTGAATCTTGCGTTCCCCTAGTCATTCAAGAGAACATCTGCATTGCAGCACACGCACGCATGCGATGTACTCGGGTACACACAATAGAGCATGCAGATTAACAATGTGTGAGGAATTTCGGGGAAATTAATGTTGATTTCTGAGACCCATTTCTACCCGAATTTGTATATAAGCCTCTTTAATAAGGGAGGAAACACCTGAACTAAGCTGAGGAAAGCGAACACATATTCCTCCAACACTAGGGTAGGCGACACGCCAGCTGCTATTGCGTCCAAAATCACATTGTGTGCTGGCGGAGCGAAGCGAACGAATGATAATCCATCATCACAGTCCACCGTTATTCTCCCAGTGGACGATAGCTAGCAAAAAGGGCGGCATGTGAGCATTCCCCTGGTCGCGACGGAAGCATCGTATTGAGCGGCAGGCCAGGTGTGTTCACACTGGAAAAGGGGGGGAAGTTGAATGTCCCAATTTCACGAGTACGAAAGGAAAGATTCAGATTGCCTGAATACAACTAGGAAACTTGAGTGACATAGTTCGAAAACGCGCCACAAGTCTATAGAGTGGGGAAAAACTTCCAGTTAAGGACGTTTTCGCCCGTGTAAAAACGCCCAGACCTTTTCCCACGGCTCACTTTGGGTGACGTTAATACTTTTTCAACACATTCCGGAGAATGACCAGCTCGAGGAAGGACCTTATACTTGGTAGTGAGGGCTGTGGTTGTTGCAGCTATACAGAAGTCTACATTGCGATTTGTCCACCGGGCTGGGGAATTTTCTCTCTACCAGTGAATCAGCAGTAGCCCACCTACTTGAACAGCTTCTGCGACGAATCAGGGCAATATCGTGAAGGAATTCGAATGGGGGCTGTGGATAGAGCACATGCGGGTTCGGAAGATACATTGGCGATAGAGAGATAGTATTCGTCCGACCCGTTTGGTCAAATTCTGTTTGAGCTCGCTGGAGAATTCTCGCCTCCTCGTGATACTGTGTGGTTGAGCATTCCAGTCGTGTCGATTTCGTTCGTAGAGCTTCGGAATAGTACCTGATTTTCCTGTTTGTGATCATCGGTCGCAAGTATAACCGGTGTTTCTTGACGTTTTCGCACAGGTTTAAACGCCCCGGTCTCGGCAGCGGCGCTTTGTTCTTACTTCGACACTTTCGGAGATATTGGAGCGGTTGATCTCTCGGGGATGTTCGGTTCGGATTTATCGAGCGAAAGTACCGCGCGCATCACGTAAGTTGGGGGAGGAGGTGCTGCGACTTGAACTTGGGTTGTCAGCTAGAGAGCAGCAGCTCATACCATTAAAGCATTTATTCTTAGGTATTTTGACAGTCGGGCTCCGCTCTTGGCCGTGGACCGCCTAAAGGATGTTACCAGCCTCAGTCCAAAGGTAGATGTCTCCAATCTCTCATCAGTGCCCCTTACCCCGACCAGGTGGTCGCAGTGGACCCCAATGGCACTGGCGAGCCCGTGAGCATCAGCATCTCCCACATCTCCCTCCAAGAGAGAGCTCGCTCTAACGTGGGTGCATCTGGGGAAGCTGATGTCGGCAATTTACGATGGAAAGTTGGTGAAACGCTGAATTGCTGCGAGAAATTCGGCGATATGTAAGCACGCGTAATTTCGCCCTTTTCATGTTTCATGAAAATAACGCATTTTAGAGAGCTTATTAACGGCCAGCTCACATCGGAGCCTACCCTTCACTCCGACACTTTGGCAACAACTGTCACCTTCTACGACACCCGAGTTGCGAATAAATTTCGGAGGGTGAGCTCGAGGGAAATAATCTCCGCATACATGTCGTTTGGAGGTACTGCGGTCAGTACAAGGTGTGGGTCGAACCACCGAAAAAACTCCGGCAGAGGCCACCACGGTACGTTGGGGTGAAATGCCCGGGCCCTTATTTGAACCTGGTTCTCTCGATGGCGAACTGCTTTGTTCTCAGCATAGGAGGGCAACCGTACCCATCGCTACTTCAGAGCAGTTGAATGAGCCTTCAGGTGGGTACTCATCCCTGTCTATATTTCGCCTATTGATCACTCAGAAGGCGGTGAGCACCGTTTCCCAGACCAAGAGGCTCCCTCTCTACCACAAGATCCTCTACGGCTGCCATCAGTGACTGTCAGCACAACTCTCAGCGCTCAACAGCATTTGGAAAATGTTTTCCGCGAATATGATGAATTCGTGTACAGCCTCAGCAACGATGAAGATTTCCCTGACCACTCGGGCACCCCTAGGGAGGCTACAACCGTTGGCGCTGCTAATCCCGCTGAGACTTTAGCGGCATTTATTGGCCGTTGTAATGAGTCGGGCGAGACCTTGGAGAAATTCAAGACAGCGCTTGGCGAGGGAGAAATGGTCATGTGCGATTCGATAAAGGAGTGGGGGAAGCACTTCATA